AATAGATGAAGAGGGGGCGCGGAGGGGAACGACAGATGGAAAAAGAGAACACAACGGGGAAAGAAAGATGGGCCCCAAAGCATCAAAGGTTGCTAAGGGCCAGAAATGAAGGAGCAACACAGTAAACGCTGCAGCATGAAAAGTACTAAGTAAGATCCCCCATGGTCCAGCGGGTACAGTGTTGACATGGAGTGGTCTGCCCTGAGAAACAGTACTGTGGAAGAATCGATATAAATATTTTCACAGTCAGGACAGATGCCACTTCTCTTGGTTCCAGACGCCCCAGAACAGAGCAGAGAACAAGCTCTTCAGAGCAGCTGGTGGGAGAGAAGTTGAATATATTGTGACATTAATGAGGTTGTCAGAGTCCTCATGATGGAGTGGACCTGTTTTGTGCCAGCAAACCTAATATCTTTAAATGCTCATGCTGTTAACCCTTGCTGAACCCCTGCCTCACACACAAAGCTGAGGGGACAACCGCACACGCCCTGCTTGTGTCTGCGGCCCGCTTCGCACAGACCGACACAGTTGTGTTTCCTAGTTACACTAAGACGCTTAGCTTGTTTTTAATGTCTCATACCAGTTGTGTTTCCTAGTTACACTAAGACACTTGTTTTTCATGTCTCATACGTGGATAAGACATTCTGTAATAACCCTAATAAAACTTAAATATATTTCTTCTTTCTAACATTAGAGGTGCCTGAACGTTTTTCATGATGGGCTGAATTCAGGAATAGAGACATACTAGAAGCCACCATCTGCTACGGCAAAGACTGCAAGAACTGTTGCCAGACGTCACCAGTCCGCACCAGCTGAGGACTGATGTCTTTTAATCTTTTCGTGTGTGAGGGAAACAGAGCTGACTTCCGTCCCAGTCAATCAAACACGATCATTTTTTGGGCTAAAACTCGGCTCAATCTGAACTGAATACCGAACCAGCTGGCATGTTTGTTTACCCTTGAAACTGTCTGCCTTGCAAGAGTTTGCATAAGACTTGATGTGTTTGGTTGCCTGTAGTTGGTTTGACAATCATGTAGTGAATCCTCATGAGGACATGTGTGTGTGATCCCAAGTCTTTCAGTTGCATACGTAAAACTGTTGAAAGAGGCTGGGAAAGCTGTGCAGTGTGTCCTCAGCTCAAATGTAATGCATGACAACACACCCCACATGTTGAAGGAAGGGTGAGTGCAAAACACTCCATTTACACTTTAAACCTGAACGATTTCTGGAGATTTAGAATCCAGAAGCAGAAGGGACTCAATAATTATAACAACACAGTTACAGTAGATACTGTGGAAAGACCAGAGAGGGTCAGAAAATGAAAAAAAAAATCAGCAAAAGGAAGAAGAAATGGTGCCACAAATAAATGCAACTCGGTTCAATCTTTTTAGTCAAACAGTGCCAGAAGAAGAGCAGGAAGTCGGCTTCGGCCCAAACAACATATTCTGTTTGATTTGCTCCAGAATGATGATATAAATTCCCTTGCAACATTGTTAAGAGACCAAAAATAATCTGCTGGCAGGCAACAGATTTTATTCTTTAATGAAGAAGCTTTGAACCAGTGCCACAGTCAGCCCCCAGGCCAGACTTTGGACATATCTGCTCTCCATCTACTTGGCTGTGAAACCTGGTGACATGTGAGCAATTAAAGATTAGGCTACTGATTCTCTCACACTGGGCTAATTACTGACCTGTGGGTTTCATTTAGAGAGAGAGAGAGAGCCACAGAGAAAGTGAGTGAGAGGGGAGGGACATGGGAAGACTGAGTCATTAATTTGTCTTAATTAATTAATTACTCTCCCTCCACTAGGCCTCCTGGCAAGGCCAGCTATTCTAAAAGCTCTGCTGAGACTTAGCATCTGAGAACTCCTGACCTGTGAGTGGTCAGACAGAGATCACAGACCAGTGTCGAACAGAAACCTTTAACTGGATTCTGATAATATAAGTGCAACGAACACGTCGGGACGCGTCAACCCAGACTCCAGTGCCAGGGCAGAAGGGGTTAAAAGAGGCAGTGGGGACAAGTTTAGAGAGGTTAGCGATGTGATTCATTTTTATTACCACGCAGCCCCTGCAGGCGGCAGGAGTGGCAAATTATTTCTGAAACAAAGTGGAGGGCCCTCATCAGAGCTATTACCTGCCTGTGGCCAAGGGCGGCGTGCAGCCTACAGAGGGTGACAGTGAGAGGGCCGAGTCAGTGAGGGATAGCCGTCCACATCCGTCCACGCTCCAGGACATCTCCCCCAAATGAGTAGTGCTGTCTGTGTGTGTCTCTGTGTGTGTGTGTGGGAGTGTGATTGCGGTAAAGTTGTTCTGGCTCCTTCCCACAGTATCAGTCAAAATAGTTTGTGGTGTTTTCTAACAGTAACACGCCAAGCAATTAGAGGTAACGTGTAAAACACAATGAGTCCCCAGTGCTAATTAAAGAAGCAGCATCCCTCTGATATGCTGACTGCAGACTGACTGCAGTCACAATGCACAGCTTTTTATAAATCCACTATCAAAGGTTAAACTGTAGCACAGACACAGAAGTCTGATTGATTAGATACTGGATCCTTGCAGCTCGCAGCTCTCTCCCCTTTCCTGTAGCGGGTGCTATAAACACTCCTAATTGTGTTGTGTTTTTTAGGTCTTGTAACCTGGTCACAACATTTTACACAAGTAAGACATCTAAGTAGAGATTGTCTGTCAGGTATCAGACACAAATGTAAGACACATTAGACGGCAGTAATTGACAACATCACAGGCTGAGGTGCTTACTGGATGTATATGGTGCTGAGCTGTGGGGCTGTACACCTCACAAACCTGGCAACAACACTTATTTTACGGCCTGCGTTGACATGTAATCCACATAATTGACACCACTACACCTACATTCTTGAACACAATTTTTAAGGATAAATTAATTGACGTTCTCTTATTACCTTTTTTTTTTTTACAAATCTGATTTTGGTCTGCTTGGTCGGCTTTATTGCCATTTGCTAATGAGTACAAAAAATATATAATTTCTTTACTTTTCAATGGAATAATCAAATTTTAAAATGATATATTCATGCCTTAAATAAATAAATTTCTTAAAATGCAACACAGTGAAAATGTAAGAGTGCATTTTTCCTGTGCTGTATGTATACATGCAAGAGTATGAGGATGTTTCCAATTTAAATGTCTGCAATCAGACTGACGTACAGCAGTAATTTCACTCTGGCTGCACGAACCTGCAGATAACAAATCTATATCCTGTATTGTGTTCTTTCGATGCTGAATATCATAAGCTAAACCAATCTTGTGGACGAATGACTTCAAGTTAAATCTCAAAGATGCAAAAAGGGGTAAAACAAGTCTTGCGGGAGACATTCAATCAGACCTAGAGCTGATATTCAGGTACTTACTGAATCGTTTAGATTAGGTGTCACTAATGTTTAGTGGGAGTCGGGAGCCATACACTGGCTGCCTGGGTGCCATCACAATGCTGCGTCAAGCTTTTCACACAATTAAAATCCTCTCATATGTGCATATGTTCATAAGAACCCAATCCAGAAATAAAGAGAAGATTCATTGTGTCGAAAGAAAAGACAAAAAAAAAAATTCTATTAAGTTGATCTTAATCCATCATTCAAGAAATGATTTGCTACGTTTTACCCACCAGGCTACAATTTTCCCTCAGCTCCAAAATCAGCAGCGTCTCTGTAACCGGTGGCCGTGTGTGATTTTAACAAATGCTTGTTTCTGTTGGAGGATTAGTTATGCCGCAAATGAGATTTATTGTTTGACAGTGAAAACTAATGGAGATGCCGCTGCGGGACAAGATCGGATTTTTAAGACAATGAAGAACCTTCCCGCTGGAGGCGACACAGGACTGACAGCGGCAGGGAGAGGAATCAACATCAATAATCTTTCATCAAGTCCACGGTGGAGCGCTTTAGCACAGATACCATTCAATAAATAACTGTAGGCCATCATTCAGCACTGAAGTGGCCAAAAAGTGGAGGAGGGATTATGGAGAAGTGCTCAGGTTCACACACTTAAAACTGAATATATGAGCGGAAGTCTTAGAGTAGTAGGACAGATGCAATAGTTTCAAATGGGTCTAATTTATTAACTAAAACACGTCAAAGAGCTCTGAGAAGATTTATCTTTAGACCCTGTGGCCTCAGCTGTGATAGTAAAGGGAAACCAGCTCTGTCCTGTTCTTTATATGTATCTTTTCTCACCAAAGTAACAGAGCTGTGGTGTTAGAGGTGTCTGATGCCAGCAGCGAGAGCCTGAAGCTGCTCTGTGCCGTGACAGACAGAGTGATGACCCGACCATGTTTGATGGATATGTGACAGGGCGGCTGCAGGGCCCGAGGGCCCGGCTCTTGAGGTGGGGTTTAGCCATAATGGTGTGTTTAATTACCTGCACAGCCACACAGCAGGTCATTAGTCAGACTGGGACACAAGGTCTCACCTGTCAACAGGAGATAAACAATCCTCCTACGAGATGTGGGTTAGGGCAGTAGGTGCATGGACTGAGGTGTGTGTGAAGGTGTAATGTTCTTTTTAAAATTTTGAAAATTCTTCCAATGAGATTTTCCCAAGAATTCCATAATGAAACAATACTGCAAAATTAAAACTGCTTATGGAAATGTTTAGACTAAGACAGAAGATATTTTTTTCAACTGATCGAACAACTCTTTGACATCAAAACTTGATTTAGTTTTTATCCATAGTAAGGCGTCTCACCTGGTGCTGTCGCTGCCTGGCTTGGTGTAGTTTTCCAATGCTCCCTCCCACACGCTGTTGGCCATTGCATTTCCTATGGCGGTCATCACCATGCTGAGCTCCACTGGCCAGTCGTCCAGGTCCAGGGAGCGCACACGGGACAGATGGGTTCCTAGGTTTCTGTGGATGCCTGAGCATTCGATGCACATCAAGGCACCCAGGTTCAAACTGGCCCAGTCTGGGTCTGAACGGAGATGAGCACAAAATATTAAGTAAAGAAAAAAGGTACATAACAGCATACATTTGATTAGAATGCAGAAAAAATAGTGATAAGATACTTTTATATAATCTAAAATAGAATGCATAATTATAACATTTAAAACCATACTGCTTGACACTTCTTATAGAACATCTTTATTAAACAATACTTTTTTTCACCCAGAAACCCAGTTTTAAATTGGTACTCACTGGGTGCATCACAGTCCACACAGAAGCTGTTTCCTCTCACGTTTCGTATGGACTGAATGGCCATTGCATCACTCTGGCTCCCTAACCGAGACTGTGAAGTGGGAACAAGGGAAAGAACAAATCAGTGGGAACGTTCACTTCAAGAGCAAAGAAAAGGGAAACAACTACAGATGGACTCAAATCAGAGACAAGCAGGGATAAGAGGAAGGAGGTGAGGAAGGACACGTAAGAAAAAGAGTGAGGCAGAAGAAATATGAACATGAAAATGAGGCCGTGTCTCCCCAGAATGCTGACACAAGCCGTGTTCTATCTGATGCCTGTCACTTCTAATAAGAGATCCCCCACACCATGGTGCACCTGTCTGACAGCCTAGAGGCCGAGGCGAGATGTAGAGGAGGGAGGGGCACAAGGAAGGTCGGAGAGTGAGAAAAAACAGAGGGATGAAAATGAAACAGCCGGCTCACGGAACCATGACGCTGCTAAATCAGGAAATGAGGAAAATCACAGACATTTTTTTCCTCCATTTTTGTTCTTAGTCTCCAACCGTCTCACGACTTGGTTCACCTTGTTTTTGATGCTCTCACAGGACTGCAGGCTGGCAAAGATCTGGCTCTCGATGGCTTGGACCCAGAGTTCCCTCTCCTCATATGTGGAAGCTTCAAAGTTCCAGGTCTGACTGGTCAAAGAGACAATGATGAACTCAAAGGAGTCCTCTTGTTCTAAAGAAGAAAAAAAATGAAAATAATGGTGTAAAATATACATCAAATATATAGTATTACCAGGCAACAAAAATGTTCACCCTTGTTTATCTCGGTTTGTTAGATCACATATAACCTTCAGATTAGTCAACCAGTGAGAAAAAAGTAATGGAGAAATAATCGTTATACAATTGTAATGTAAATGTAATGAAATAAAGTTAAACACTGTATCATCATAAGTAAACACCATAAAACACAATAAATGTAAACTGGTAGATGAATATATATATATATAAATATAAAAATATACAATATATATATACATACATTGTGATTAAACCAGTTTTGATGACAGTGAATCAGCAGTGTGTTCCAACACTCACTACTCTGCGTTTAACTAATACTTGTGAAAATATCACCTGTCGTCTTAAAGCAAGAGGCGCGACACAACATATGTTCTAACACATGCTGCTCATGAGCGATTCATTAAGTCTGTACTGTACAACGAGATGGTGTAACGTCTCTGGTTTATGCACATGCTTGAGCTCGTAGCCAAATGATTTGTAATTACCTAATTATGTCTATGCAAATAGTCATCTCATTTGCATAAGGCATGTTCTGAGGACGGGAGGGGACGAGACACATGGGGGAGGATGATTCCATGTGGAGTCATTTGCAGCATTTCCTTGAAATAGCTGCTGATAATGTTCTGAGTTAATTATCAACAGGATCAACATCAGTTATCACTGTATGGACAGAAGGTTTTTTAGCCATGGCCAAAAACAATTCAGTTCTTCTCAGATGCCTTGCCAAAGGATGGTGACCTGAGACAGTAGACAGCACACCTCTGCCCTTAAAGGACAGGTGCCTGATGGACGCCACTAATGTAGCAGTCCTTGTGCAGCAGTGGAGGGTGAGCTCTTCAGGGGAAAAGCAATAATCCAATTAGCTCGACACTGACTTCAATTATCTGATTTACTTTGTGAAATTGACTACAGGTCACAGAAAATCAATAAAGACTCTGGAGCCTCTTTATTTAGACTTGCAGTGGCAAAAAGTCTCTTTCTGTGAAACAACCAGCACAGATTGAAACATGAAATCCTTAATGTGATTAAATGCATCCCAAATTAAAGCAAAACCTGAATGAAGAATGGAAACGTATGGGATGAGGGGACATATGTGGGGGTACAAAAAAGTGTGCGTCAGTTCTGTGGAGCTTTCGTATCTTCAGGTGTGTGTGTGTGTGTGTGTGTGTATGCGCATTTCATTAGAATTTGTGGTTCCCGCACTAAAATGTTGTGTTTTCATCTTTTAAAAAAAACCCGAACAAAGCTAATTATTCTGTTGGCTGCCCAGGCAATAAATTGGAGGCATTAAAACACTTTCATTATGGAGATTAAAAAAGCAACGGATGGCTGGCTTTTTAAACTGATGAGCATACGAGGGAAAACAAATCTAATTCTCCGTGCACAGTAATGCGCACGAGACACAGTGGCCACACTAAAGAGAAAGACGGCCGAGTGCAGCGGGGGTGTTTATGCCAGATGCAGGTTTTGCCATTACCCACAGTCCCCACTACACTCATATTACTTTAAATGCCCTCCACTGAGGCGACTTAGCTCCGGAAGCTAAAGTAGCACAGCACTGTGCAGGCATGTAGCTGAGGTCACAGAGCTGATCTCACCGACCGTAAATCTGATGGTGAACAGTGTGTCAAAGGTACCAGAGCTATCTAACAGGTACCTGCCATGATGAGCTAGTATAAGGGCCATCAGAGCTTATGTTATTACTCAGTGGCTGCAGTTAGAACGTGGCCAGCGGAGGAACGATCACCTCGTCACATTAACATGAGCATTAACCTCCCGACCATATCTGTCTACCGGCCTACAATCAACAAGTTCCTGGCAATTAGAAATAAATTAACGGAGCTGTGCCAGTGGGCGGACAAGGAAGCACACAATTTAAAGGCAACCGGGAACAAACTGTGAAAAATGGGTGAAATATGATTTTACTTAATTAACGTGGCATAATAAAAAGGAAATTAGAGTGTAATGGCCGGCAAGGAGCGTAGAGGAAGAAATAAATGAAGAAAAAAAAGAAAACCTCATCGGCCATCGTTATTGAAAGGCGCTCAGTTACAGATGTTGCTCATCGGATACATAATGGCCTCTGGCAGCAACAAAACATCATTTTGTTAAACATTTCACTTAAATAACATAAATAACAACTTCCAGATGCAAAAAATGATTCTTGATGAGTAACATTCAGGGGTTGCAATAAAATTAGATTTAACTGGTAGAGTGGGGTCTTTCTAAAGTCTAGACCCTTTATAAGAAATGGATGGAGTCATCTGGATAGCATGTTGATGACCCTCCAGAGAAAGCATCACTAGTTTCCATAGTAACTCTGTATGAAGCTACCTTTAAGTCTTTGTGACTTTAGACATTTTCCAGACTGTAATTCATGGTAATTGTTCTTATTTTGATTAGATTTTGTCAATGACTCATGTGATATTTAAATCAGTATTAGTACAATTTATTCTATACTGTTTTGGTGCACTTTTGTCTTGAAAAGTCACTTTTTTAGGGTACCTAAAGTATTTCCAATACTTCTTGTCAATCAGTCAGATTTACACATTTTGTAGTTTTGCTTTAATAGTTTGTGTTTTTGACTATGCCTTTGTATCACAGATTATAAAGCAGCCGTAGTCTGTACTACAGTGAAACAAAGAGCTGAGTGTTCTTTCTTTCTTCTGTCGGACAATACTTTACTTTTTTCGCCCATTGAATGAACATTAAAAATGATTGTCATCCAAGGACTCATGCAGTTTAAATGCTCTTGTTGATCTGCTCTATATCACACAGGTCCAGTATGTGTTTGACCCAAAAAAAAAAGTATACAGAGAAGAAGTTGACCTGAGGACAGTGATCCTTCATTCCCTGTCCTTCTAGGTGTTGCAGATGTACCACTGAGGACCCGTGGACCAGATTATCACCTGGGGGGTTTGGTGCTGAGCCCAGCTGGACTGTCTACACAACAGGCTGCAGCACAGCATCTATTTTGTCTAAGCCCTTTAAAAAAGAGCTCCGGAGACCAGTGTGACAATCACTGAGAAGGACTTAGCAAACACCGCTCAGCCTGAAGGACGGGCTTTTCTTTGAAATTCATTTGTGCAACCACTTGGCTAAAGTTACGACGAGGAGCGGAGGTGCACGAGGTGAGCGGTCGCTGTGGTGTGTGGGATGTGTTTTTGTTGTGTCGTGTGCATGCATCAGGCAGTCACTTAAAGAAGTGCTCGCCGTTCCCGTGAATTAACGAGCAGTTGGGAAGAACAGGCCAAGGCGGTGCCATCTGTAAATGTCACAGGCACTGCTTGCTCATTTTACACATCATTAAAGCCAATATTCCTAACCTGTATCAGAGCAATCAGGAGCAGGCCATTACTGCGACAGGGGCCCCGGGGGAACCACGACCAAACTCAGATAGAAGAGAGAGAGAGAGCGCGCGAGAGAGAGAGAGAGATAGAGCACACTCTTTATCTATCTGACACACACACACAAGTGAAACACTTTACAGGCTCACGTACATGCTCAAACAAACAAGGAGCGCACCTCCAACAATAAACAAACACATGAAATCAACTGCGGCACCACTACTCTAATAGCTAGTGCACTTAACAACAGAGCAGAATGAAAACAGTGCCAATTATACATGTATCTGTGGGCAGTGTGTATAGAGCCCAAATGAGAATCTTGTTATTTCTCTCCCTCCATACTGTGGCGCTTACAAAGCTAAGCCATTACAAGAGTGGAGGCTCCAGGGACAGCTTTCGGAAATGAGAGCGAGTCGGGGAGTGACAAAACAAAGTATTGAGATAAACACCCACCATTAGCACAGGCAGTTAAACCTCCATTTCCTAATCCTCAGCTGGACTCCAGAGGATATTAACCCTTAGTTTACTAAGGTACAGGACAAGAGGAGAGCGGATTGAGTTGGACTCTCAATGCAAACTTAACGTGATTTTTGATCAGGGGAATAATCAATTTGGAAATGAGTCAAAGATCAGGATTATGGTGGATTAAAACTGTGGAGGACTTTGGAAAACTGACGATGACTGATCCAAAAAGTTTCACTCGCACTAACTTAATATTACCATAACTGATAGAGTGATTGATAACTCTTCACAGTGGGCTCACTTTATGCTTTACTCTATTAAACACAATTCATTTTAAAGTTACCAGCCTAAATCAATTCAATATATTCCAGAAAATCTGTAACTCATATTTCTATTTACTGTATATATAGCTATATACCCTTTGGTTAGTAAACCAAACCAAAAATTGATAAAAAAAAAACAACCTTTAACAGCACTCTGATCATCACCTGTGCATTTTTGCTGACTTCTTTCAATTGTCTGTCTATGATGTCTATTTCTCGACCACAGATGATGTTTTAAGGTAAGGCTGGATCAGTGACAGGTGTAGTATTTTATATTTAGGCAACCTAATATTGTTCTGACTAGTTTATTAAACATTCTGGTCGGAGCTGCTTGGCCTAAATGTCATATAAAAAAACTAAAAGCATAAGTGTGAAAAAATTGTTCTTTATCTGAAAAACATTCAGATAAAAAAGCATCAAACTGCCACTGCCTTCCAACTGATTGATCGAAATAAAATATCTTCATCCATTATTATCTAAAATATCTAAAGTACCAGGAAGGAGTATCTCTTCCAAACTTTGTCCCATCTCTGCGTCTCCCTCGGCTCAGAGTGGACAAGCTCCAGACGCCGTGAACAATGAGTATTTGATACACTTTCTTTAAAAAAGAAATACATTAATGATGCTCCCTGACAGTCTGCATTAATCAGAGGGGGCTCCCCCTGAACACAGCTCTTTATCGGCCATCGATTTTCCAGTGGGTTTTATGGCGAGCGACACACGGGGAGAGCTCGTCGCCGGGTGGCTGCTGGGAAACACATTACAGGGCTGTCAGTTGTCTCGCTGTGCATCCTGCATCATTCTTTAAGCACATGAGAAGTTCATTACAGCGCACACCTCTGACGGTGCATAGGATATTAGGGACCGTGTCCATTGTGCATATCCTTGATGGAATGGAAGCAATGAGAAACAAATTCTTGAACTATTTAAATCACAATAAAATACATGCTTAAAATAAACATTGGCTTCACGGTGATGTAGAAATATTAATATTATAATAATACAGTAGTCCTAAAGACTATAATGAATTTTCATGCAAAAAAGGTGACTTCAAACCAGGGCTTAATGTAGTTGGACCATAAAAATCCAAATAAACAAGTAGCTCAGCCAATTAAATAACAAATAATAATGGACTAATACCCCAAAGTCTGTGGTTTTGTTGGTGTTCATGTAAAAACCCACATCTGAATTTGTAAAAAATATCTTCATCCAGCCTATGACTGGAGGTTTTCCAAGTGCCGCGGTGCCACGTTTAGAAATAATGGTTCAACAGTTTCTTCAGGCTCCACATACATCCTGCACGTTTCATGTTGCCCACAATGATTCCTCACTCTAAGAAGCTCACACTGTTTTTGATTGATGATACTTCACATCAACTAAAATTCAATTTCAGCCTGCACTGCACACTTCTGATTGCCCCATAAATGAGACAAACTAATAGCAATTTATTCAAGGATCTCAACTCTGTCTCTACCTCCCTCTCTGCCCCCCACCCCCCCCCCCCCCCGTCTGTTCTTTCAGCGGGAGACTCACACATCCCAGACATGGGTGAAACCAATATTTAAGTGATACGTCTGTATTCCAGAGCATTCAGCGGAAACAGACAAGTTGATGCTAATAGAAAACCTCACAGACAACGCCGAGAAAGACAGAAAATCAGGTGCGTGTTTCTATAATGTTGGAAACATTTATAATCTGTACCATAAAAGGTTGATTATTCAGGAGCTTCCTGCACATCAACGCCAGGTTTAATCTGATTATTTCAAATGAGGGACAGTCGTCACAGATATAACGAGTGTCACCAGTAAAGGGCTTCAGAAAGAAAATAGTAATGTTATATGTAGAATATTTAGGAAGTTCCTAAATTAATGAAAAGAACACACGAACTGCCCCTTTACAATAAAATATATGCATGATGTGCTGAAGTAATGTTGGCAACACTTAAGACATCTGACCTGTTTTTATAGATTTACTTAAGTTGAGACCTTGAATAACAGACAAACTTGAACCAGCACACTGAGCTCATGGACCAAGAGCAATCAAAGTGCATTTACAGCACCCTCTGCAGGGTGGGAGGAGGGAGCCACATGTTGTGAATTTACCAACAAGTAGTAAAAAAAGGCCGAGCATGAAAAGACTGAGACATCAGTGGAGTGCATGGTATATACATATGACCACATTATTATCAGATCATTAAGGATGGTGTGGTGGTTTGATTAGTGTTTTAATACTGATGTGGCCACAGTCGGTGCTTTCAGGCCTCGGCTCTTGATCTGTTCGTCCTTCTGCTCAGTCGGACATAACGCAGACTTTGCTCCGGGGACCAGGCAGTGTAGAGTCTGTTTAATGTCCGGTTCATCTGATTCGGACATTTGCATTCACAGCTAGCACTCCTCTGGGTAAAGTCTACAAAAGTTCAGGGTTGCGGTGCATGTCTGAAAGCAGCTTTTGTTTCCCAAGCAGCACACAGCCTCCATCTGGGTAACAAACCTCTGCTCCACCTCTCTGCCACTCACAGGACAGAACATATGCATTTAGAGTGGGAGGGGGGTGGGGGGGGTGTTGTCATCGCAGTGTTAGATTGATTTGATGACTCTTTTCTATGAATGTAAAGTTGCAAACAGTCCCATACAGTCTGTTACTGTCAGAGAAAGTCTTCCAAAGTTTACGGTTGACCATCGATGTAACACAGTAACATTTAGGGATGCAGTGCTGGCCCACTTATTTTAGCCTACTTATTCCCTGGCACTCATCTCAATAATGCTGATGATGTTCCCCTCGGAACAACAATGTGGTCAACAGACCCATTCAGACTTTAAAGAGCAGCTGTCAGAGAGCGTGATAAAAAAGGAATAATGATTATAAATGCTAGGCCCCATTTAGGAGGTGTCAATGCCATTGTTGTTGTTATCCAGCGTATCAATCTTCTTGATTGATCATCGGCCGGGTGACATCAGTTTTATGGCCTCTGAAATGCGTCTCAGTGTTTTCACAATGCCATCCAATTAGGGCACTCAATTCATCATTGGTTCAGAGAATCATTATTAATTGGTTGGAGAGCCGACTGCTTCTCCCCTGCTGAGAAGGGCAATGGCTCCTGGAGCTTTTCATGCCACGGTAAAAGAAATGTAGCTCTGTGGTAGAGTTCTGAGGGGTGGAGGGGCACAAAGAATAAAGAACGCACCTTAACATATAGCAGAAATATATTCAACCAAAATAAAAGATTTTTCTGTTGATGTAGCACTCTGGTTTGACATTGTCCGGATGCAAAATTTGGTAAAAGTTATTAGCATTTAACCTGCTATAATGTTGGTAAACATGTTCCCAAAAACGTTAGGGGTTTCAATTTTTTTTGTTTTAATAATTTTAAGTAGAACATGACATCTGCTTTGAAAATTTACAGTTGAAACTATTTTTCCATATTGTGAAAAAGCGTTTTCACTGTGTCCTGTTCCATCCCTGAGTTTGACAATTGTGCAACACCACAGAATCTAAAACTGTGTTTCTACGTGTGTGCAGTAGATCTGCAAATTATTGAAGATAATTTCAGAAAATGTGTATTTTACACCGATATATTTTTAGTTGCTACATTGCATTTATTTTGGACATGTTTCACCTGTGTTCTGTTTGATGTGTGGATGTTTTTTCCGTCAGTCGACTGTGTAACAAACAAATACTTCCCTTTTTTTTGCTTCAGAAGTTTTGGTCATTTCAATACTAGAGCTGTAGTGCCATTTTCGTACCTTCATTGCCTGCAGATAGGCCATCTGGCTTTGTGATGCCTGTGCTCTTTTTCCGTCTGTGTTTTTTGCGGTTGGCATGAGGCGAAGGAGGCGGCTCGAGTTTAGGACTGGTTGCACTGCCCACACTGGAACTTGCCGGATCACTCATTCCATTGGCTGAAAAGACACAAATAGAAAAATTCAATTATTTAAATGAACTGGATTTGACCATTTAAAAAAAAACTGTTAGAAAGGTGTAAAAAAACATTTGAAATTTACTGACAATCGTTATTAAAACTTTGTTCAAATCAGGAGCAGAGTGCAAGAGAGAAACTTTTCTTATACTGTGAGATGAAAACAGCTTGGACTGCTGCAAAAGTAAGTGTGTAAGTCCAGCTTTAGATGAAGGACAGGTACAGGGCTCACAGTGAACAAATGGTTACCTTGGTTAGCCTGCAGCAAAGCTCTCTATATGACTGTCTGGGAATGACAGGGGGGCTAAGAGCCGGCTTTGTTTCTTGTAAGTGATTTTATAAATGTGATATTAACCTGTGCTACGGTTGGGCAAAGGGACAGGAGGCATGGGATGATAGGAGGGTGTTGTCAGCTTGCCATCTTTCTGATTTCCTGACATTTGACATCACTTTCCCTTCTTTACCCCTCCGGATGCCATTATGAATCTGCGAGTGGGGACCCGGGGGCCTCAGGGAAGGAGGGAGGGAGGGCCAGTAGATGGGCCCCATATTGCTCTCCTCTTACCACCCTGTGTGGTGCTGGCAGCCTCCTCCATTGTCTCCCATCAAAAGCTCATTGTAGTGTAGCAAACTCCATTCATTTCCCTGTGCACCGTCCCAGCCCCAGGGGTTGAGTGCAGGAGGACAAGGGGCTCGGGGATTATTGCTGTTGTTGTTGCCAGTTGCACATGGTATAATGTGCGGCGCTGTGCCATTAGCCAGTGTACAACATTAGGCCTAATTCGGTCATTACCTTTAGGGAGATGGGGCTGTCTTAGTGGAGTAAGATGGGCTCAGCGGGGGACTGACGATGGTAACACGAGGAAAGAGGGAAGGAGCTTAGAGGGTTTGGGGACGCATTGTTTAAGCACGGGCAGAACATAAGACAAAACACCTGGGATGCACATTAGAAGTAATATTTTTAAACTCAAGCCCGGTCATAAAATAAAACTAAATTAAATGGCATTACTATAGACAAGAAGCAACAATAATAAAAATTCTAAAACATTTTTACGCAACTAATTGCCAGATGAATGCGTTAATGGAGAAGTTGGCTTAGAGAACTTAGAGTATGGTAACGGCTGACAAGCACCAATCAGAAAGCAGATGTGTACGACTGATAACTGGTGCAGACTCGAAACATTCTTGGAGATCTAAAAACAACAGCAGATAACAGGAGACGATGGAAACATCAGGTGCATTTTGAGCTCATTTTTTACTTTTGATGAAAGGTCTGACACCTGAAAGCACCGTCTGATTCATAATAATATGTTTTTGACTAGAAACAAGGAGAAAGTTAATTAAAGCACCCTCTAATCCATCGGATGCCACGAGGATAGACTTTAAATATCAATATTGTATTAACAAAATAGTGATGTGTGGTTTGAAAAAAATAGAATATCATTGATGTCATCACATTAATAAACATAACCGTGCTGTTCCTGCTGCACTACATACATCAGGCTCTCTGGTGATTTGAATGGCAGCACGCAGCCACACATGTAGCAGCTCTTAGTCGAGGCGTCTGTTTCAATTTCCCTTCTCTCTTACAACAGCCCCCCTGAGACGAGTCATTAGCTGGCTCAGACAGCTGGGGGCACAGAGGTCCTCAATGTGCCTCCCCTCCCTCCCCCTCCACACACACCTCCCCAACACTCTGCTTCCTCCTCCCTCTCCATCGTAGCGTCTGTCCTGCCAGTACAACTCCGTATGGTGGGTGGAAGACCTGAGCTCCAACCTGCTTCCAAAGTGACAGCCAGCATTTGTTTAATGTCGCTTGAGGTTAAAGGGGAGGGCGGCCCCTCGGGGGCCCCTGACCGTGTCATAAACACCTCTAATTATCAATTTGTGCCCCTAATGTTGTGGAAAATGACCTCGGCCTTGCTCGTCCTGTACCTGAGACGTAGACTCACTGATATATGACTCTTTGTTTAGCTTCAGAGATATAGTATGTGGAAATTCCCTCCAAAAGTAAACAAAGAAATAATCAAAAGGGAATCATCTAATTTATGTAGTTTAACTTTTTAAAAATATTACTTGAAAATAAATGTTTGTTGATAAATACATATGATAAGTACAGTGGCAGTGATGAATTTAAAGGCTTCAGAGCTGTCTTTACAGCTTAAGAGGCAAAACAATTAAAATTGCGGGACACAATTTCAAGATGAGAATATAATCCATAGGACGTGTCAAACTCAAGGCCCGTGGGCCACATTTTGCCCATCAGGTCATTTTAAGTGGCCCAGCAGTGCTTCAGTTGATGGACTAAATGCAATTGTCAAATTCTGTGCGTAACATATGCATGATGGGTAACTCATTATTTTTACTTCTCTAATTCCAATTCCAAAATCTATTTAAATGTAATGTAGGCATGAAATACATTTTTATACATCCTTTACCAGGATAATAGACCAGAGCTTTCAAACAAGCCCGCGAAGAATGCTTACACTTAAAGGCACCTGTAACGTAAAGGGTGTTAAACCTATATAAACCTAAGCTAAACACAAGTGAGAGAGGGTGAGAGAGAGAGAGAGAGATTATCAAAGCCCCTGATTCTTAGTGATTTTCTGTAATATCAGGTCTATTGCTTTTAAGTGGTTCTCAGCTCTAAGCTATGCGTGATTGCTCTGTTATTTCTTATGTTGAGAATTAAAAGTTGAAGCTGCCCTGACTCTACAAGCCAAGAATTTACTGTGGCGTTATTAGCTGGCCATTAGAGTGTATGAGTGCCATCAGGGCCGAGGCAGGTAATGAAGCACCATAGGATCACAAGACTCCTCGCCTCTCCACTGAGATCACCTGGGTAGCAGAGTAGGTATGAGCCTAACCTGTGATTACCGATACTCCCACTCTGGAGAAGACAGTTTGAACACGTTTAGGATGAAGGATGTGGGAAAGACAAAGAGGGGGCCGCTAAAAGCTTTCTGCCTTTGCCAACGCCAAACGGAGAATGAGGCAAAGGGGCGAAGGAGGGAGAGAATGGGGGATTGTTATTCAAGAGGCTCTGGGTGAGGAGCACTATGATTCCGCCAGGCCCCTTGACATGGCAGCCCTGCCTGTCCTCAATCAAACCAACAGCTGCAATTAATGGCAAAAATTAGAAACAATCACTGCCTCCCCTTATTATCCTCAATTAGAGCGTACTAATCAAGGCCTGATCGCGCTCTGCTGCTCTCTCCAAACTAAATGTCAAACTTCATTACAGCCTGACGTAGAAATCAAACGCCCCACATGCTATCACCCTCACATCGGGAGGCCAAGATGTAAAACACGGTTCCACAGGAAAAGGCTATCTGTGCATTAACTAACTGTGTCCTCATATGCAAACTCAAGTGGAGAAAAAGCACTTAACAGGCCTTACTGCAGAGCAGGAAAGAAGGAAAAGCAACAGACGCAAAGTCTTCAGGGAGTTCCTAAATATAAAATTATTACTTTTTATTATAAACTATTATTGTGTAATGATATTCAATGCGTTGGGGCTAAATATGAAGAAGGAAAATCTGTTATTATAGCAAGTCATTTGAACTACAAGTGTTCTTTGTCATGCAGCAAATTATTTAATGGATTGATTTTTTTTATCGTGTAATTTTTCAATATTTGATCTATGTCATTATTCAATTACTATCTATTTAAAGTTATACATTTTTGTCATTCTTCGACTTTGGTAAAGTGACATCACTCACACCATGACACAGACCTCTAATCATTTCCTCAGAAAGCCGTTGGAGCCTCATGCCTTTAATTCAGGTTTGAAGATTGAGGTGTATGAAGGAGAGCGGGATCTAAACAAGCATGTGGTGCATTAAGAATGGCTGCCCTTATGAATGCAAGCAATAGAGAAATTGGGCCGGGATTTAATCAAAAATCTGTGCTCAATATTCAAGAGACGTTAGTTCCCCTGCTTTTGCCAATAGGTTTACAAATGAGGACATTCTCTAAATAATATGGAAATGGTTACATGGCCGCGGTGCATTCATTCTCCCCCGAATCATCAATCTGCTGTTTTTGCTTCCGAGAAACACATTTTGTTTTAACCCGCAACCTTCACCAAGGATAATGGAGCGACTGGGCTCCTTTTAAAGTCAATTCAAATGGCAAAACATGAGGTGGCGTCAGACGGAACACCCTCCATTGATTATTGGATGCAGATCAGGATAAAAAAGATAAAAAGGTCGTGTTTCAATCCACTTCATGTTTTCTGATAGTTTGTCGAACTTTGTCAAAGTGTTTTCTTACATTCTTTTCTTGTTATATATTATATAAATTACTCAATTTTTTATCCAACAGCTGCCGTGGTGAGGTAGTTGAAATCCTCCCTCACGCCAGAAGGCTGTGGGTTCAACACCAGCTAGTCTTCAATATCTGAGGTTGAGCTTTGTTTAGAAGGTCATCCAGTGTTTTCATTAGAGAGGATGAAGAACATAATTCAGGTATAACTTTTAGCTAATTTGACTCCTCCAAGTTCCTTTATATTTAAATAAGGAAGTAGCATGATGATATTTAGATTAATAATAATAATAATTTGATGGATGGATGGATGGAATAATAATAATTTGATTTTATTTGACTGGATATTTGTTCATGGGTCTGTTGCTTGTTAAGCTTGTTAATTTAAAACATATATTGAAATT